TAAATATATACATATACAAACATATATATACACACATATAAATAGGTCGGCCTGTGAAGCTAAAGAGGCTTCAGAGTTGGGCTAAGCCTAGCCTATTTAAATAAACGGGCTTTTAAAAAAGGCCAAACCGAGCTTGATAATTAGGGAGTGTTTGCATTTGCTTTTGCTTAAAAAAGTCACTTTTTTGAAGTGATTTTGGAAAAGTGATTAGTAGTAAAAGTTGATAGTGTTTGAGAAAAAAGTGGTTAGTAGTAAAAGTTGATAGAAAGTGATTTTGAAAAGTAAAAGTTGTTAGTGTTTGGTGAAATAAGTATTTTTTGTGTAATAGAAAAAGTAAAAAGCACTTTTTGCACAAAAGCCGAGAAACGTTTTTTAAGTAGAAGTTGTAACTTGAAAACACTCTTTTTAGTTTTTTAAGTCAAAAGCTGAGAAGTGCTTTTTTTAAGCAGTTGCAAACACTCTCTTAAACAGGCCCCTGACAGTAGACCTGTACAAAATCGGGCCAGCCCGGCTCGCCCAGCCCGCCCGTACAAATTAGCGGGCTCGGGCATATATATTTACCCACCGGCCCGGCCCAGGCCCGGCCCGCAACAACATATGGGTGGGCTTGGGTTAGGGTGTAGGCCCGTTCGGGCCGATAAGCCCGGCCCGCTACATTTAGTATGTATACATATATATATTTTTGTATATACTAATTTATGTATATAAAAAAAAAGGTATATACTAATTTATGTATTTATTTACATGTACACATGTATATTTTTATATTTACTAATTTATCTGTATACATATTTATAGTTTATTATGTTTAAATTTAATTTTTTAGTTCTTAACAAATAGTCCAACCAATATAATATCTATTTTTGTATTTAAAGATAATACTTTGTGCTTGAATTTTAAATTTTAGATATACTTTCTCATTATTATTTTTGTGTAAATATTTTTTGTGTATGTGATGAAAGGCCTATATACATTATAAGCGTATTAGCAATTTTGTACATATTGTAATATTATTTATAAAGTATTAAATAAATTATATAATTTTGAAAAATTTAAAGTTTTCCCGAGCCCGGCTCCCCGGTAGACTACCCGGCCCGCTCTTACGGGCGGGTATGGACATGGGGTTAGGCCCGTTTTTGCGGGTCGGGCCGGGCCCGCCCACACACGATAGGCAGAAAACTTATGAAAAGCCCGGCCCGAGCCCTCTTTTGTGCAGGTCTACCTGACAGGCTCGTGACAGGCCGCCTGGCCTATTTCCACCGCTACTGATCACGCGTCATATATATATGGACTAACCAACAACTGATATAAAATCACCAACCATAGATCTAAAGTTTTCAGCATAGCATTCATCAAGACAATTAGTGGATTCAGAAATCTATTCATTCCAAACCATTTTTAACAACTGTTTCAATCGGCTTAAGCTCCAAGAAGTTGAGAATGTGAAAATTAAATTCCGTAAGAAACATAGACTTCATACTTAAAGTGTAAATCAATTCCAATTTCAATTTCAAAATCATAATTGGCCATTAGAATAAATTTCATGACATTCAAAATCCAATAGAAATAATAAGAGAAGTCGATCAAGAACAGTAAAAATTATAGGCATCAGTGCACTAATTTAAGAAGCTAATTCAAACTCATAAAATAGTAAACGCATAACAGAATTGTAAAAATAGCAAAGGGATATGAAACCCGATGATTAAATGGTGAGGCCGATGGTTAGGTAATTGTCGACAATGGTTAATCGAGAATAGAGATGAAGACGCAGGTTGGTCGATCAGTGAGAATTTTCTTAAGAAAATGTTTTTCTGTCGTTTCTCTTCGTTAAGTGGGACATTTTTTTATTTGCCGCTACTAAAAGTATATGAGTGGTTGTCACTTGTCAATATGAAAAAGTGACATTTGATTTTCAACTATCAATAATGACTAATGAGAGCACAATTTGGATGACTCTACATATAATTTATGAGGTGGATGACTCTAAGTCTACTCTTAAAATTTATGATTGAATCTGTAATTTCTATTTGAAGATTGTCTTGTATGTGTTCTCGATTTTAATATAATGACCGCTTTTTATGATAAAAATGACTAATGAGAGTATAATTTGAACATCATGTATAAAAACAAAATTTCTTCATTATTTTTATTAGAGGATTCAATCCCCTCGCAAAACCTCTAGAAATAGTATTATAATATTATTAATGAGGGGATTTTCCCCTCGTCACTAATTTTCGTGGGTCAAATTTTTTTTCTTGTAATGATATACTGGAGTTTTACAAAATTGGTTAAGGAGAATGAGGAGGATTATTTTTACTTTAAACTATAGGAAGTACATGGAATTCACTCCCTGATTGACTTAGAGTTAGACTTATCAGGCTTATCAGCCAATTTTTTTTGTGACCCTATTTTTCGACTTATCTGGCTTATCACCCAACTTTTTCACCAAACACTTAATTTTTAATGTTGCACGCTGAATCGTGCAATAATAAGAAAAAGTAAGGTTGGAGTTACTTTTCTGGTTGTATTGACTAAAGTTACTTAGAATATCCTTTTAGTTGTTTGTCATATATATTTTTCTTTATTTTATTAATAAAATTTATTTTAAATATAATTTTTTTCATAAATATATCATCAAAATCAGTCAATTCAGCCACTTCAGCCATAACTTCATAAATTTCAACAGAATCGGCCAATATAGACGATTTGGATATTACCAAACGGGCTCTTAATATATTTTGGAATCTATAGATATTAATTTATTCTTCATATTAATTTAAGCACATTATTGATGTTTACTTTAATCCAACACGATATAGTAAATGTAGATAAAAATATGTATGAACACTCGGTTTTTACGTGGAAACCCGAAAGGGAGAAAACCACGAGACTTTTTAGGCTAATGTCCAAGCCCTCTCTTTTAATAGAATATTATTAGGCATATTTGTTTCCTATTCTGTATTAAACTCTTTTAATATAAATAGACATGTCAGGGCTCCTATTAGAGTACCTTTTCCCGTTTATTCACATGGTATCAAGAGCCTAAGAAGAAAAAATAACCCTATTTTTTCCTCTCTCTCACAATCGACGCAGCCATGTCGCAGCTGCAGCTCTCCATGGTGCCGATCATCTCCTCCGGTGAGTCCTCGCCGCTTTCTTCCGCTGAGGACATGCACTGCAATCGATACGCTCTCTTTGTCGGTTGTCATCACTGCTGCTCCTGAGTCCTCTCAAACGATGCCCTATTCTTTTCCCATGGTGTCGGACCTCCGTTCTTATTCTGCCGGACCACAATTCTCTCTATTCGAAACCTTGCCGCCACAGTTTCCATGGCAGCAGGTTGGTCTCGGCATGAATTCAGCTAGTCCACGACCACAACCGCAGGTTATGTGGTCGCAATCTGCTCCAGCTCTTTTCCCGGTCACATCAACTCCTCAGCCGCAGATGATTCTCCCTCCGGTCATGCCAAATCCGGAGCCGGTCAGCACTCCGTACTTCGGACCAACCTTTGCTGGTTCGCCTCGAATCACACGGCCTGCACAAGATAATCTGTTGTTTGGTTATCCTATGGCAGCATTGGCACAATGAGTTTCACACGGGATTGCTAATGTCGGACAGATTGTTACTATTAAGCTTAAAGCGGTGGAAGATTATCTTACATGGCGGACTCAGTTACGTTCGAGTCATTCCTCGTGTCACAGGGACTTTTTCGTATGGTAGACGGCACAATTCAAGTACCTCAGCTCCCATGTATACTTTGGATTTTAATAATCAGTGCATCATTAATACTGATTACTATCATTGGCTGCGGGTGGATCAAACAATCCGTTCTTGGTTGTTTGCCACTCTTACTCGGGATGTATTAACTGATGTACATGATATTAAACATTCCTTTGGTATATGGGCAAGGTTGCAATCTCGTTTTATGTCTGCCAGTTTGCCTAGAGCTATGGAACTCAAACGTTTATTGAACAATACCAAAAAGAAATCAACTCAATCTATGGAACACTTTTTACGTGATATTAAAAAACTGACTGATGCTTTAGCTGCGATAAATTCTGCCGTGACTAATAAAGAATTACTTCAAGGCACACTTAGTGGATTGGGGCCTGAGTATCAATTTGTTACGGGTACTATGTCATTATTTCCTGAGAGTATTCCACCTGACATCCTCCACTCACGTCTCATGGAAGCCGAGCAACAAGTGCTACACATGCAGCAGGATGCTTCCTCTCTGCAGCCGGCTTTTGGAGCACATGTGGGTCACGGTCAGCCCCACAATCCACCTGGACAGCAACCCGGCCATGGCACATACCGCGACAGAGGAGGTCGCGGCAGAGGAGGCCGTGGAAGGGGCCGTGGCTGATATTTTTGCCAAAAGTCTTTCTAGTCAGCAATTTCATTTCTTAAAGGACAACATGCACGTTGTATCTCCCGCACAGTTTGAGGGGGTGTCATAGAATATTATAAGGCATATTTGTTTCCTATTCTGTATTAAACTCTTTTAATATAAATAGACATGTCAGGGCTCTTATTAGAGTACATTTTCCCGTTTATTCACATCTTTCTCATTAGACTCTCCTCACCATTTATAGAGAAAGGGGGGAGGGTGCATTTCTACCCTAATGGGCCAAATGGGCCAAGGTGGACCCGGTAGGCCAAAGTGGCCGAATGGGCCTCACTAATCGGGCTCCGTACAGGGATAATGTCTTGGGCTCCTAAATAGTAGTAGGTCGGGATAATATATCCCAACACACATTGATTTTTCATTTCTACTACGTAAAAATTATTAATTCAAATAAAGCTATAAAAAATCGCGCACATAAGATAATAATGTTTCCCTGATTTATTTTTCATTTCCGTAGCATTTTCTCTAATCCAAGCATTCCTTATACGCAGTATATGATTCGAGAAAGAAAAAGAATAACTGAATAAAATTAAAGATGGATGAATGTGATTTATTTGTTCAATTATTTCTTATCATAAATGTATGTATGCAGACTGATGTATACCTAAAGGATTTATTTGGGCTGCAAACACTGGATAAAGCTGGAAAGATAAAGTTCTTCAAGGTGCCAGGACAACACCTCGTAATAACTGTTCCTGAAATACAGCAGTTCATTCTTCCATACATGACTTAGCTTAATTGGTGTCGCATGCATCACCCAATGTCTAAATACGGTTATCTCTAATTAGCTTCAATAATAGTGGTCTTACCAATGTATCATGTACCATGTACGTAAAAGTGTCACAGCGATTATAAGTGATGAAATGTCACTTTACCATGCATGATTAAATTAAATGTTACTGGAAATTAAAGTTTATCAATGTTCATATCATAAAGTGCTTGAATTGAATTGTAAGATTATATTTAAAGATCGACTTCGTACATACATAGAAGAGTAAATTCTCTAACTATGAGTAAAACATTACAAAAATGTAACAATAGGAGCTCAATGTTCGGCAAATTGTACCGTACAACCGGCTGTACAACTGTAGAATTAAAGAAATTACAATTTTCGAAATTAAAAAATCTTTTATGAATAAGATCACTTTCAATTTCGAGGTGGCCCATCAAATTATCAACTTTATTTCTCAGCTCACAGGTACCCGTCGTTCTAAAAATAGGCGGCAAAAGAGATTTGGACCTTATACCATTCCTTCAGAATTCTACACATCTGGGAGCATCGTGAAAATTACAAAGGAAAGAGGCCGGGAGCTCCATTCTGATCCCCACGGGTCAAAATTATTCAAGCCTAGCTCAATTTTTGACAATTTTCTCTAACTTTGTGGGTATGCCTAAATTAGTGAAGGAAGACCCGACGCTCTTTGTTCGCAGGAACACAATGGCGGATGAGGAGGTTACATCATATATTATCCAAAATGCTTTTTAATGCAGATATTTTGGGAGCCGACCATAAGAAACAACAGCTTCTCTCTACTGATAAACTCCACAACAATTTCCAGATTCAGGCTTATTCGGATGCTTCAGACAGCTTCGATCCATCTGATGACTCTTTTTTTCTAATGATTTCATGGGGCACGCCACTGATAGCGACAAAAGACTACCCATTTCCAGTCAAGACGACATTCAGGACTCCGATTTCAATCGAGAGATTTGCTATAAATCTCAATTCGTCACATCAGATACCTGCCTGCCAACAGAGAACCTGAATACGCAACTGAAAATTTACCGGAAATCCCAAAAAAACAAACAGCGCCATACCATGAAGACTAGATCACAATCAAAAAAATTCCTTGGGCCTAAATTTTCATTGTACTTTCCTATTTTTCAATATTACTTGTATTGTACTGAAATTTTACCTTTTCAATAAAAGTTTATGTTTCCCAAAAAAAAACAACTGTACAAATGTAGAAGGGCATGATACAGTCGGCATTTTTGTAATTAGAACGAATTTGTTGCTTTTCTTTTTCCGCAGTTACTCTCCCGTTGGTTGAATTGGCTTTACTCCTTTTGTTTTCTCCTCTCTTTCTTTTGTTTTCTTTTTTTAGTTCTTTCTTTTCTTTTTACTTTTTTTAATTAACCAATTTTTTTATTCAAGAAGAAAAATTGAAATACAAGTTCTTTCTTTTCTATTTTTTTCGTTAACATGCTTTAATTTTTTATTTAATTATTATGCTTTATTTAATTTTCTTCTTTTTCCAATCAACTTTCTAACTCAAGTCTTTTTAGTTTGTGCATTATAATATTTTTTAGGTATTAATGTTTTGTTCTTCTATTTTTAATTTTAAGATAAATATTTGTTAGTTTATTAAATATTATTTGTTAATTACTAACATGAGTTTTATGTTATACAAAAATGAGTATAGTGTAAAATAATTGTGCATGAGTAAATATCATAAAACCAACACAATTATATTTGTAATTCAAGAACAAAAGACTATAAACATTTTTTAATTTAAAATTATTATATTTCTCATTGTAAGATAAATTGTATTTCATTGCTCATTTTGTAAGCTACATATATTCGTCTGGTATTGATTTATGCTCATTTTTAAATATCTTATTAATGCATATTTCAAAAGTATCAAATTAGATTCGCATACGAGTTAGATTATATAAATGAGAGCAGAGATCATGATATCCAATTGCATGTTTCGGATACTCAATAGAGGATGTTTCATGTTTAATGAAAATATCTTGATGCTTAACCAACAAAGCTTATGATTTTCATATCGTTGCTCATTTGGTAAATTATGTATGCTCATTTGGTACTGATAATATGATCATTTTAAAATGTTATATCAATGCATATTTCAAAAGTGTCATATTACATTAGATTCACATATGAGTTAATTACAGATACAGGAGCACAAACCATGATACTCAATTTGCATGTTTCTAATACTCAATAGGGGATGTTTGATACTCAATGCAAATGTCTTGATGCTCGTTCAACTAAAAAAACTTATGATTTTCATACTAATTTTCATTTTATAATTTACATATATATACACACACACACACATATATATATATACAAATATATATATATATATATATATATATACACAAATATATATATATATATATATATATATGCTCAATTGGTATTCATCTTATACTCATTTTTAAAATGTCATATCAATCCATATTTCAAAAGTATCATATTACATTAGATTCGCATATTAAAGTTTAAAAGAGTTGATTATATATATAATTTAGAAGTTTTTATAAAAGAAGAAATAAGGGGGGAAAAAGTGAATTAGAATAAATGTAACAGAGATCACGATACTCATTATTATACTCATAATACTCAACAAAATAACTTTGATGCTCATTAAAAGTGCATTAATGCTCATTTAATGGAAATCGCAAATTTTACTTAAATTAATAAAATGACACCGGCTGTACAATGTTCACTGTACAGCCAGTGGTACCATATACGAACTCTCAATGTTCCGTGTGATATCATAGGAGTAAAAATACATGAGTAAACAAAACTACCCTTAATGAAAACCCTAATTGATTTTTTAAAAATGTAAAATAGAATAATAAAAAGGGGTTACGTTGTACATAACGATAGCGGAGATTGATGCGGCAGATGTTCTTGAGTACATTTCTGGAAAGCAGACTGAGAGCTGGACAACTTTTATTTTCTCGCTGATAGAGATGGCAAAACGGGCTAGGCTTTCCTATGGACTTGTTTTGAGGAAGGGAATTGGCCAGCCCATTATTTGAGTGATATTTGGGTAGCCCAATTCAAGTTATTATCTACTTTAAACTCTCTTCCTCACATTATTAAAAGTGCTTACTACTTAGATTTATTTAATATTCCTTCATTTAGGTGTATGTTGTAAGTTTATTTTGAGAATTTTTTATTCCCGTTTTTTGCTTGTTTCCTTGTCTCACATTTTTGAGTGATGTATTTCTGAAAGGGAATGCCTTTTTTGATAGGTTTAGGTCTAGTCCCCGTCTCTTTTATGTAACAGAAATTGCCCTAACTAGGAGTAAAAACGTTTTGAAATTCCAAAGTAGGTGTATGATGTTTTTTAGTCCCTGAATAGGAGTAATCTGCCAAGTTTGGAAAAAATGTCATGTTTAAAGCCTTGTAATGCCAAACTTGGCATAAATTTACTCCTATTCAAGGAATAAAAAACATGATACTTCTATTTTGGAATTTCAAAACGTTTTTACTCCTATTTAGGGAATTCTCTCTTTATGTAATTGCTTTTTATTTAATAAAACATGGCAAATGTTCCTCAGCATTTGCCCCACTAATATTGGTGGTTTGCCTTCCGGGTTTAAAGAATGATAGCAGAGCCTCTTGCGCCAACACCACCCACCACATGCACTAACTGCCGCTGCCAGACGCTGCCACCACCTGGCGCCGCCACCCGTCACCGCCGCCGCCATTCCAATCGCTACTTTTTCCTCTGCCGCGTCGCCGCTACCAGAAATCACCGCCATCCATTGTCGCCGCAGCCTTGTCTAGTGTCGCTGCCACCCGCCACGGGGACGGAGCCACCCTGAAATTTTTCTTTTTCATATATAGGTATATATAATTTTAAAAAAATGACACCACTCAAAAAATTAACATAATCTACATATAGGTATATTTAAGCTTTCAAAAGTTTAAAATTGACGCCACCATTTAAAAAAATAGAAATTGCTCAGTATATGATCAAAACATACACAAAGTTCAAAAATAGGACTAAGTATGTTTAATTCCCCAAATAAGACTTATTTAGTCCTTTTTAGTCGTATTTTGGGAATAAAACATTAGTAGTACTCCCTCCTTCCCGCTAAAATTGTCCCAATTTACATTTCTGGAAAAATCACATTAAGATTGACTTATACCAAATTTAGTAAAGTTTTTGTGGTTCTAAATCATTCTTACTTTATTTTTAGGGTTTTTTACAAGAATATTACTAAAATAGAGCTTATTTACATAAATATGACTATTCATTACTACAATGTAGTGTTGTGGTAACTAAAGTTCAAAACTTGAACATGAATTACTATGATTTCATTACTACTCTAGTAACTAATCATATTTTTGTAAACCATCTTTATTTTGGTCATATTTATGCAATTATTTCTTATTTTCACTTTATCAATTCAATATCAACCACATAAATTCACTTTTCTTAATAAATGTGTCACCTCATCTTGTTCCAATGTTAGTGGGACGGAGGTAGTACTAATTATGAATTGTATCCATGCTTTAGTTATATTTAGAGAATTTTATCCATGTCTTAGTGGAGGTCAATGTATATATTTTAAAAGTCGAAAGACTAATTAAATAAAGAAAAGTCACACCAAAAATAAAAGTTTGGACGGAACAACTCTTACTCCAACAGTGCGACTCCAATTCGTTGCAAGATGGAACGTAAGGGCGGAATCACAGAAGAACCGGTTGGATATGCTTTGATGAATGATGTCTTAGTTACTTTTATTGAAAAAGATGTATTTAAAAGTGTTAACAAATAAAAAATGCACAACGTTTTCAACATATTAAAACGCATCGTGGGTAGTTGTGAATTAGCACTTTAATTTTATGAATGACAATCTTTGCTATTTAGCTTTATAGAGGTACGAGGAATGATCTACTTAGTCTGAACTAATGGGAACTGTCGTCCGGCCAAGCCAGATTGAGGGATTTCCAGGTTGAATTTTTTATAAAATTTTGTGAGCATGTTCTTTATTAAGTGTAGAGCATCTCTACAAAATTTTATCAAATATTCGACCCAAAAGTTAGCTAAATAAATTATTGAAAAACGTGGCGCTTTATAAATAATTGAAAAACGTCGTGTTTTCAATAATTTATTTGATTGTCTTCTCGATAGAATTTTTTGATGAACTTTTGTGGCGATGTTCTTCACTTCATGAAAAACATGCTCAGAAATTTTTATCAAAAA